TTTTTGTTCTGTGACAATCCAAGTAACTTTTAATATCCATTCACCTAAAATTCATGCCTGGGCTTTGGAATCCTCCCCACCGTCATTAAAAAGGCTAAATTAAGTGAATAAAATACAGTGCCACTTGGAAAGAGCTGAATTATGTTTTCACTATTCTAATAACAAAATCCAATTTTTGGGGGGTGTTTTTTTCTAAAGAAGAGTCAATTTAAAATAAAATCTATATAGAAAGAGTACTCATTCAGGACTCAGCATAGCAAAAGTACAGTGACAGTATGTTCCTATTTATAGGCTAGTATGGGGACTTTGCTGTAGGCCTTTATAGACTTGAGTCTAAAATTACTGTCCCGTTTAGTCTAAAAATATTTGAGGATAAAAGCTGCTCAGCTTTACGGAAAGACCTCTAGAAACTCCTCAAAGACACCAATTCCAGAAATAAAAAGTAAATACTTATTCACTTGAGCGAAATTGGCCCAGGTTACAAATTATAGGATATTTTACTTCTAGGATAGTAAGAAATACCAGAAACAAGTATTTTGAATCAGCACTGTTCAACCATTTGTTGAAGCATCTAGCACCCCAAAACTATTTCATCAAAAGCTTATCATTCTTTAACTTACCTGTGCAAGAAAAGTAGGACAATAGGAAGAAATCTGGTCACAAAGTACTTAGACCAAAACGTACAAGCTCACCACAGCAAAAGAATCTTGTAACCTGTTCACATACTTCCTTCCCCTGCTTTATTACATTTCCTTTCTTCCTTTTGACAAATCTCCTCCCATACACACTGATATACATTTTAATATTAAAAAAATTACTTAGATAATTTCTAATGCTTGTTGTGTTTCTTCCAGGCAAGTAAAAGTGACAGAGAACCTGCAAAGACTCTTGAACGTGATAGTTCTAGTTACTCTCAAAAAAAACTCGTGTAGTATTATGTAAACATAAGTTTGTGCATGGAAACCTTAGTGCAACATTCAGCCTGGGAAAAGATACCCAAGACAGAAGTTATTCACGTTATCGTGCATAGGCTGGAGCTATAGTAGACATGAACTCTGTCTAAAATGCTTGACAACCGAATTTGTGCTAACTGCTTTATTAAATTAATTTAATACAACAATTCTCAAGATGTCAATTGGTATAAGCCTGCTCCGTTTAAACAGTACTGTTTAGTATAAACACCCTCTTACATTGGCAGCAGAGAACAGCTACTGGGAGCTCCCAGAAGCAAGTCCTCTGCAGAACTCAGGCTGCATACCAGTCCTCCCTCAGTGCCCTCATTTCAACGCCCAGGCAACGCCAACCCACGTTTGCAGCAGAGCTCAAACCTATTCATACAGCACAAGTAACACTAGGTCAACATAATTACAGTAAAACAAACACAAACTACCCAAATCTGATTTTCAAAAGTGCTACAACACCTGTGCCTATCTACATACCTTTAAAAACTGATCCTTCTTGTTCCAATGGGATCCCTAGAGGTATCAATAAAGCGACATACCAATAAGCAGATTCTGCTGAGCAACTCAGGTTTTGGAGAAGAGCTCTAAAATATACGTCGCATATTACAGCAACATGTTACTTGTATTAAGCACTGACAGGTCTCATAAGGCCATAATTTTTAAAATTGTGTCAGACCTCAGAAGGATCCTTTTCTCAGAATGAGGTATCTTATACTGCATAAAAAATAGCCAAACATACACCTCCACTAACCAGGAAAAAAGTATTCCTAGCATGACCATTATGCAATCAACTTTGAGGCTATCTTCAAGGATCTTCTTAACATCCCTACGAAGTTACAAAACGGGTCAAATACTCAGGTCAGGATTGACACTATAATACTGAGCACTACAAAAGCTTCAGTCAGTGCTCACAGAAAAAATTTCCAGAATTTACACCAGTTCCCACTACAGTCTGCTTTATTCTGAAACCCTCCAAGACTAATAAGGAACCACACCGCAGATCATGCGACATCCTTATCTTCCTCAGCAGCGCAGAGACAAGCTTCTCCTCTCTCCATGGCTTTTTCCAGACCCTGGGTGAAATCATACAAGAAATTAGCAAGGACAAGAAAGGTGCAGATGGAGGACGAGTTGCAGACAAAAGCTCTGTCCTTTTGAGAATTACAGAAATGTACTTCTCTTTTGGCTTTGTACCAGAGAAGCACAGGAAAATGGAATGTCCTTTCAATCTGACAACATAGCTTTGTGCTATAGCCTCCTAAATCTACATGATACACCTACCTCAAACAGCATTTGTCACACACAAGCAGAACAGACAAATGCTGAGGCCCGTGAGTTTCCTTGCACAGACAATAATCAATAAACCCTAAAAGTTCAGTTTTAGTCTGGACTGTAGGACCTTGGACTGTGGGACCTTTGTGCTGTGCCTATTTAGGTGGAGTCCAGGCACAAAAAGCCAATAATTGCATTTGCCTTATTATTTGTCATCTTTCCACGTAGCTCCCACAGTTCCAGGCATCCTGGCAGGGCCTCCTTGCTCCCTCAGCCCTGACACATGGCTGGGTTTCCCAGTGCAGCCAGCCCTGTTCTGTGGATTCTACCTGGAAATGCTCTCTTCACTGCAGAGAGATGTTCTGGCTTCAGTTGCACACCGCCATACTCCAGGAATACCTATACACCAACCAAAACATCTCCAGACAGCTTTGCAACAAGTCCCTGTGAAAAAACCTGATTAACGTGCTGCCCTGGCCAGGGATGAGACTTCTCTGCTTCACTGCAGAGGCAGCAGACAGCTGGAGGTCAGGGATAGCACATCGCCCTAGCTATCCAGTCCAGCATTCCGCAGTCTGCCTCCAACACCTATCAACTTCTTTTCTTATGAAAACACATGCTGGGGTCTAGATACCACCAGCTTTTTTGTCACTGTCTCTAACATCCACCTACACTACCAAAAGAGTGTTTAGCAGGGATAGCCAAGGACTGGGCTGATGCTTTGGTACCAGCACAGAGGCTTATTTTTTCACAGCTGTTCTTTTACTTGGCTGAAAAAACCCTTGTAGGAGTTGTCAGCCAAAGGAAATTAGTGTTTTCTCTGCTATAGAGTATAATTGACTTTTCCTCCACTGACAGCTCTTCAAGCTAAATTTATGGAGCCAGGGAAATCAGACTGATGTTATTTGGCTGAGACTATGGCCTACTTCCCATACACATGTAATGACCAAAGGGAAGGGTTCCTTTAATTCACTTTGTGCTGCAAAACTACAAAATGAGCAAATAGCAAGTCCATCATATAAAAGATAACATATTTAAGTTGTATATTAACTGTGTGATCAGAGGTACCTTTAGAGACCAACATCATTCATAACAAATGCAGAAGACTATCTCTCCAGTAAGCAAGACAGAGGAATTTCATTCATTTCCATAAATGAAATCAGTCAATTTCTACCCAGCTGTCAAAATTTGTCCAGTTGCTTATCTGCTCACATTGTTGTAGTCAGCATGTAGCTTTGCCAGCTCTGACAATTTACCCCTATGCTTCACAATACTTGGTGAAATCAACACCTCCTGGTACTAAACAACTATGGAAAAAGCTGAACTTTGATTTAACCCAGGAAGTTTCCTGACCTATTGCTTACAAAGAAAAACCTGAAACAAACTACTGTTCATGGAGAAAAAAAATTTTAGGTGCATTACTCACTGCTTTTGAGCAGAGTACATTTGTTGTTATTCCTGCAGACCTGACTTCAAAACCTGAAAGCTAGTGTTCCCCTTACCTTACATAAAGAATTAAAGCATCTTGGAGCTCAGGCTCAGCATTAGCCCATGAAGCTGGCATATGTCAAACAGACCTATTCTGTAAGCACTAAGCGTCACAGTTAAATTATCAGGCACCTAGAAAGGCACATACTTGTACACAAGTTTACAACATTTAGATTTCTTTACACTAAAGTTCTATTCCTATTCTTCATCCCTCAAAAAAGCAGTAATTTAGCAGAATACAACTAAGCAGCTTTTCATGCTACAGGTCATCTCTTCACCACATATGTTCTCCCTGACTGCAGTCGGCTGGCTTTCTTCTCATTTATCTCACTGACCTCTTTTACATTATCCTAGGATGATCATATTTTTCCTCTTATTTGTTTTCAATAAGGGTTCTGCAGCCATTTTCTTCTGTTGACTCCACAGGGCACAGCATCAGCCACAGGCCAGTAGGATCTGCTTTTCACCCCTAGCTTTCCCCCCACACACAC